TGCAGAACAATCTATAAATCCAAGCCCAGTCCAAGCCCCAGAGACCAGAGACTTCATCTAACACTGGGCCAGGTTACAGCAATCAAACACACACCCTAGCATGGTGCCAGTCCCCAGCCCATGGCTGTCTGGGAAACCCTGGGACATTCAATAGAATTCAGCTTAATCTGGTGATGGGCAGACTGACCCCTGAGTCCTCTCTTAGAAAGCTGCATTAGAGAACTTGCAATTATTAGTCCCCTAACTTCTCCACGAATTACAAATTTCTCACCAGAATTATTTCATCAAGGACTTAAGAGAAAGTTTTCTTGGAACACCTAAATGTTTATTGGAAAGAGAACATTTGGGGGAGATGACTGTTAAACTTTTTTCCAGACCCTGTGGTGGAATAAGGCCTAATTTGTCAAGGCTGTCTTAAACTTCCAGATTTGCCCCAGTCATGATGCAAAATATGTTCCTCTAGTAGGTGAACATGAATGAAATTCAGTGATCTCATGAAGCAAACTCTTCCCTCATAGCACCCCAGCCCACTCGCTGTTTCTCTCAGAGCTCATGGGAGCCTCGGAACTCTGGAGCTCCTCCTGTGGGGACCTGAACTCAGGCCGTGCTTTCCCGTCTCCCTCTGCAGCCACTCTTCTGATGTAAAACCACCCACTGTCTCACTCCGTGTGGGATTCTATCTTCGATAAAGGAAAAGATTCTCTTTACTTTTCTGAACCCAATGTCAACTCAACCAGAATTAATCTTCTTTTTTCGGTGAGGCTTCTGAGAACACCCGTGGGTGTCTCTTGGACCCCTGAGATCAAAGTGGAAGCTGCCTGACTCTCCAAAGCTGTGCTTCCTTCTCCTTTCTAGATGTCTTTGGTTACTCCATCCTATGTTTAGGTCTCTAGTCCTCTCAGCCCAGGAAGGTCAGGATTCTTTAAGGAAAGACAGGGTTGTGGGAGTGGGCTTCCAGGCCTGTGATTTTCAGAGAACACCTGGGCTGTTCTGGAGAGTAATTCCACAGAATTATCTACTTGTGACGATGGAGGTAGCTGCCCTGAGCTCAGAGGAGGCTGGGAGTAGAATGGACCTATGGGAGCAGATAGTGAGGCTCTGGTGGTGTGTATGTCTAAGAAGCCAGTATGTTTTCACCACGGGAAGGAGCCAAACTCTTGTTTGTTAATCCCAATGATGTAGGGGACAGTGATGAAATTCTTCTCAGTCAGGATCTCTTCTGGTGTCCTCAACAGCACCGCCCCATCGTTCCCTATGAACGGGAAGGGATAGTTGGCAGGAAGGGATGAAGGGAGTGGATGAGATTACTCTGCCCAGGTAACAACTGTTTCTGTCCTGTGCCTGACTCAGGCCTTAGTCAGCAATTGACTCCTGTGATCACAGAAACTCTAGGTCCTGAACGGGGCTTAGTCTATGACTCACCAACAATAGGACCACAACTGGGGAGCCAGCAGTGATAAAGTAATATTGGTAGGGAATGGCTATGGAGGCTTGGCCAAAGTGAAATAGCACACACACACACACACACACACACACACACACACACACACCTGTAGGAAAACACACATGGACACACACCTTAAATTGTAGCTGAGGGTGTAAAAGTTCAATGAGTCCCGAATGAGCAATGCTACTAGTTAAGAATAATTCCAAAGTTAGGCACTGGGAGGCTCTAGTTGGGACATTCATACCATTCACCTTTGTTTTGTGTGTCCATTCACATGAAAGACACATAAATACAGTTGACTTGCACATTAGTTATTTGAAGAATTCGTCATAATGAGATTCTAACTGGAGATGATTTGTTTTACTGACTCTAAGCAACATAGCTATGAAAGTGCTTGGCTTCTGACTTATAGCCTTGCTGCCCACTATGTTTTAAAAACACATCATTTCAATCCCTTCTCTCACAGGTTCACAATGGAAAATGGGCGCTGAGTCCAGTTCAAACTGTCCCTATAGAGAAACTCTACAGTGCCGAGGGCACCTGAGAGTCACCAAGGGGAGTAGGAGCCACTCATCCGAAGCAGGATACATGTTGACCACACAGGGAAGACGCCTGTGCCCTCGGTGGTGAACTCTGAACATGAGGATTTCCCAAACAGCGGTATAAATGTTTCCCTGTCAGAGGAAGTGACTGTTGAGTATTCCGCACCGCTCTGATACTCTGTATTGTTCTTTTAAAAAGAATATGATGATGGGATGGCCCCGCGGCTCGCAGAGTCCGGCAAGGATGGCCGTGAGTCCCTGTAACACCATGCAGCCGGGGGAGTCAGGCGGGCGGTTACGGCGGATAAAAGGCTCATAGGACATAGTATTATTTAAAGAAGAGGGAGACATTTATTGCTTAAAGGAGAGAAAACAGAGAGAAAACAAAGACACACATACACACGAGACGAGACAAATACATACACACACACACACACACACACACACACACACACACACGCACAGGCACCAGAGAGAGAGAACGAGCATGGTGGGGGTGTGTGTTCAAAAGTGGCTGGGATGGGCGTGGTTAGTTCTTAAAGTGTCCCAATGGAATAACACTCTGGAGGCAGAGGTTCCTGCTGACCATCTCCACCTGACGATCCCCCCCCACCCTTGGAGCTGCGATCCTGCAGTTTCCTTAGGACAAGTCAGGCTATTGCCCCCTTCCTGCCTCTTCTCCCGTCTTCCCTTCGGAGGAGAGTGGAGCAGGGCAATCAGTGACTTTTTCCAGAGCAGAGCAATGGCTTTCACTGGAGCAGAATTGTTAACGCTCTACTGGGGAGGCCTACCGGGCTGGAACAAAACTCTAACACTTTGGCTGGGAAAGCTGTCCCTTCAGAGTTTTCCATAATCCCACAGCTCCTCTAAGCCCTTCTGGACCTTGGGACCCCATTCCCAACCCTTTGCTGTGGACGAGACCCCTACTCCTGGAGCTCAGATTTTGTCCTCACCTTCCAGTCTCTACAAAAGCCCTGGTACCACTGGCTTAAGCGCCTGACCCCTCGGCGAACTGAAAGACTTGGTCATTCCTGAGTACTACACCCACAACTACAGTCTGCATAGACATTTTTCTTCTCTCTCATCCATGAGACTTGGATCCAAGCATCCCTTGGATGCTTCTTAGAAAACCTGTAACCTCTACACCTGGCAACTGACCTGAAGGGCTCTGGCTTCAATATCCCTTAGATAATCAATCCGAAGGGCCACCTAATGGCACCTTAGATCCTAATATTGTGGGACCTTTACAAATATTGTGAGTGATCTGTGCAAACAGAAAGAAATTCCCCATTTCTCATTTTTCTTTTCTCAGCGCCAAGTGCTGTTTGTTTTTGTCTAGTCTCTGCACCACACACCATGTAAATGTCGGGTCTTTCAATTTACCAAGGACAGATCTGTAACTTTGTTGCAAAGTGGGCCCAGGAGCCAGACACAGCAGGAGGCCGAGGAAGCAAAGGGGCAGGCCAGTTGTATCAGGCACACGCCCTACACTGGATCTTCACAGACTGGTGCATCTCTCAGCTCTCTCCCCAAGCGTCCTCTGTCTATAGCCAGAGCTGAAACTCCTCCTAGCTGTGAGCTCCAAACCAGATGATTTTTCCTCTATTTTCAACTACACTCACAAGCCTCCCCCTCACCCACTTCAACCCGCAGTCTCTTCTCTTTTTCTCCAGCCTCTCTTGTTTCCCTTTCTCCCTTCTCAGTTACAGGCTGCCCATCCAGTCAGTGCTGAGGTGGTTCCCTGACAGGCCCATCCTTGCTAGGGATAAATTTGTAACTTGCCTCCTCGCTGGTCTTCAAAAGGCCACACTTCAGACAGTAAATTGTGAAAAAATCCAAGATGTCCTCCAGGACAAACATGAAAATCCAGCCCAATTCCTAGAATGCCTTATAAAAGCGCTCTTACAATATGCCAAACCCGGATCATCAGACTCTTCCCAAAAATTAGGTCCAAACTTAAACATCTAGAGAAAGGACGTCTGACTCCATAGGTAGAAGTCTTATCTGTGGCCTTCAAGGTGTACCACTGAGGAGATGAAAAAGCCCCCAAACAAAAATACTTGATGCTAGTGAAACTCTTTTAAGAATGAATCTTCTGCAACCTTTTCTTGCCCCCTTTCCCTTGGAACTACCTGATTTATCTTTCTTAATACCCTCGTGGGCCTATGTGTTGCCATGTTCCTAGCCAACCAGGACCTGCCTACTAAATCCTGCAGCTTCTTTTAGCCCTCTGGGCCTCTGTGACCTGGTACCTCCTGTGTCTCAGCTGCACCTGGAAGTCTCTGAGATTCTCTGTCTCCTCCTGGGCTTTTTTCTTGTCTCTCAGTTGCCACTTGGAACTCACAGAAACTGTCTTCCAACAGACTTCATTTTGTGACTCTTTCGCTCTTCCTCCTTTGACTTGGGGTTTATTAAAGCCTCACTCTGTTACTACAAACAGAAGAGAGAGGTGGTCTTTGTCTCTTCCTCAGAGAGGACTATTGCTTCTATGCCAAGCAGTAAGGTGTAGTAAAAGACAAGATCTGACAACTCCAGCTGGATCTTCAAAAACATAAGAAACAGCTTGATGCCTCTAGTCAGTGGCCCATTGACAGTCCAATATGGAATTGGGTACTACCCTTTTTAAACCTGTTTCTCTTCCCTCTCATAATCCTAGTGGTTGTACCCTGCCTTATAAACTTCCTGTCTAGATTTTTTTCAACAACAGATTCAAAAAATTGCTAACCAGACTTTTAATCAGTTGCTATTACAACTCCTAGCTACAGAGCCAGAGGCCAGCGACTCCCAAATATACGTTGATGGTGAAGATGAAGTTTGCCCAAAAGGGCTTTGATGCCCTGATTCAACACCAAGTAGTCTAACAAAAACATTGCTCCTCTTTCCCATGACATATTTGTTTATTAATAATAAACAACAAAAAGGGGGGAATGTAAGCCCCTCAAGTCACATGACCTCCAACTGCCAGGTTCCACCCACAGGGCACTCTAACTGCCTTAACTGCTGGACCTAGCCCCACCCTTCAGAGTAAGAAGCCCAGTCTCTGAACATGAAATCCCACCAATCTCCACCCTGGAGAGCTCTACCCTCTCCCCAAGAAACTCTATATGAGCCCTGTATCCTGTTCAGATTGCTGCTGTTTCTCAATTGCAAGCTTTGGCTGTCAGCCTTCTGGGTTTTCCTGTTCCAAAAATTGTCTTGTGTGAGGTTTGTTGTGTGATATTACCTTGTGGTATTCCTTGGCTCCTAACTGCCAGGAAACCTTTCCATCCAAGCTTTAATGCTTACAGTGGGGGCAGGCTTTGATGTTTCCCATGCCCAGGATACTGCCCAGTGTCCCAGTTGACTCCCTGTAACCTGCAAGAAGAAGAACCTTCAGCTGCTTCTCCAGCACCACGTCTGCCTACACGCTGCCATGCTCCTTGCCATGATGATAATGGACTGAACCCCTGAAACTGTGAGTTGTCATGGTCATGGTGTTTCTTTACAGCAATAGAAATTTTTGATGAGACAAATGTCTTTTAGAAACTGTCACTTGCCTATGGGTCACGTCTGTTTTCTCTTTATCCAGAGGCAGTCATTTGCCCCCCAGGGACAAATACCTCTTCTCCCTCTCTTTTGCCCACCTTTTCTTCTCTCCCTTATTCCTTTCCCTTTCTCCCTTGTCCTTTATCTCCTACCTTCCAGTACCCTGAACTCTGGTGAGTAGGTGAATAATCTATTTAGATACCAGCTCTACTTCTCCATGTTCAACGACAAAAGTGTTACCTCCAGAAACAAGACCTTAACATCAGGTTGTGTGAGGAACCAAGAGCCTTGGCAACAGCCTGTGCTATTTGGTGGTTTCCATGGGTCCCTTTTGTTAATAACTCAACAGGCTGTAACCTGTTCCTGGCACTGGAGGTTTAATTTGGTGGCACAAGATGTCTACTTGAAGCCTTCTCTCCCTTGTTATTTTTTTTTTGTCACCATGTGGGTTCCTTTCACATACTGATAGGAAGCTCCTAGGGTAGTCAGTTCCAAAGGAACTTTTTTATTTTCCATTTCTTATATTTCCTTTCTTTTTTAATTGATTTTTGTTGAGCTTTATATTTTTTGCTCCTCTCCTTGCCTCTCCCCTCCCCTCTTCAATCCTCATCAAAAAACCTTTAGTGTTGGTTGTCCCTCTCTGTTTTCCTTTCTTTACCTTTCTGTCCCATCCCCCTTTCATTAAACCACCCAACTCTAGTTTTCCTTTGTAACTTCATGACACTATAGACTATTTCCTTTCCTGGAGAGATACTCTCCTGGTCCCTTAGTAGGTACCAAACCTCTGTGGTTATTCAGATTGTAGTTTCCATATCAGAATCTTAAAAGGTAACATCCTTAAAAGAGAAAACATATAATCTTTGTCTACATGTGCTGAGCACTGTAGGCTTTTGTTGCTGGAGTGTGACCTGGGCGTGCGCAGAAAACACAGGGGGCACAGTCGCTGAGAACCATTGTGTGCGCATAGCACATTACTATGTCCATGGAACTGGGTTGCTAAGGATGAAGCAGAGTTCAGCTCACACTGAACCAAGGACCTGCCCTGTCAGGATGTTCTTTTGGATCAGTGGGGACTTAATGAGTGTTTTTATTATTTACTGTTGGGTTTGGGAGGGTGGAGGGTGCAGGTGGCAAAAGGGGAAGGCAGGGAGGGCCGGGAGGGCCTGTGGAGCCTTGAGGCTCAATATGAAGGAGGACCTTGATTATGATGCCCGCACTATTAGAGCCCCTCAGCAGTACACCTGCCTGTGACCCGCATGCCTGAGTCATGGGTGCTTGGGTAGTAAAAAGCAGGAATTTCCCCTGTACTTAATCAGGTATGACCCTGTGGGGCAGCTCCACAGGGCGGCCAGTGTGGGCGATGTGACTTCAGTTGAGAGACTCATCAACTTCAATCAATAAATACCATGTAAACGGATATGACAGGAGTGGCAGGTAATGGGGCCTGGGGAGGGGCAAGGGGCAGAAGGGGCAGGAGGTGCAGGAGGGGCAGGAGGGGCAGGAGGGGCAGGAGGGGCAGGAGGGGCAAGAGGGGCAGGAGGAGCAGAAACTATTTGGCACAGTCAGGGGCTACCAGGGAGAAACACACCTTCCAGAGCTGCCTGAGGTAGGGCAGGTGTCATGCTCAAGACTCTTCTTTCATGGAAACCACTGGGTTTTGTGCCTGCTTTAGACTTCTAGGCATCTGAAACCTGCACACCTTGGAAGGGCAGCTCCTAGGCTTTCTTTAAGAGAAGCAACACAAAGAACTCCAGTTAGTTTACAAATCCTTTTATACTGTCTCCTTTAGAGCACTTTATTGGGCACTTTAAAGGGATTTAGCTAATAAAACCACATACATTTTTTTTATGTGTACACTTAATTTTTTTTTTAGATTTCAGTGTTTTGCCTGCGTGTATTTTCATTGTACCACACACACATCAGAAGTGGGCATTGGATCTCCTGGAACTGGAGTTATGGACAGTTGTGATCTGCTATGTGGGTGCTGGGAACCAAACCCAGGTCCCCTACGAGAAAAACTAGAGCTCATAAATGCCAAGCCATCTCTCCAGGCTTAATGCATATGTTTTTAATGCTATGCTATATTTAACACAGAAAATTGTATCATGAGATAGATTTTCACATAAAATGACAACTTGAAGCCAAAAAAAGAATCGCCAAGAAATCTTACGTCTATGTGTTCTATGTTTGCTGAGGAATCTCATAAGGAAATTTTCAACATGAGCTATAACTCAGTCCACCGGTCCCTTATATACATGTTGTATGTGCTTTGGTACCTACATGAAGGCTAGAGGTCGACATTTTCTTCTTCAATTTCTTTTCCTCTCATTAAAAAATTCTTATGTGTGTGTGCACACATGAGCCCCACATATGCCAAGTAAGTGTGTGAAGGTTAGAAGAGAGCCATATTTGACAGTTGTATTCTGCCACGTAGTGGGTTCTGGGGATTGAACTCAGGCCATTGGGTCTGCCAGTGGGTGCCCTCACGTGGTGAATCACCCTGTGGTCCCTACACCTCAACTTTTGAGACAGATTCTCTCACCCAAATCCCCACTGTGTTTGACTGATTTTCTTGGCGTATACTGATTCACCTAGACTTGCAAGAAAGAAAGCTTTGGGGATCCTCCTGCATCCACATCTCCAAGTTTCTCAAGGTGCTGGAGATTCTGAAGTTGGTGTCTCAGGCTTGCAGGGTGAGTGCTTAGCAACTGAGTTTTAACAATCTCTGCAGCCCTCTTTCCTAGTCCTTGTTTCTTATTACTCTCTAGGTTATAGGCAGGAAACTATGGCCCTCAACAGTAGATTCTCCATAGGAAGTAGTCTAGCAAAAACAATGACCACATTCACAAAAAGATGGATTATGGATGTTTGATATCATTTAAGGGGGGGTTTCAAAGTATTATTTTGCTTAATAAATGTATTCTTTAAAAACACTGAATTCTCCAGCTCTATTTTTCTATCCTGTCAATCCATTTATTCCCCGTGTGTAACTTAGATATCTCCTGTACAGCATACAAATTTACTAGCCCTCAAGATCCTCTCATTCTTAATATATTCATGTTCCTCTGCCCAGTCAGCTTTCCTTACATTCTACAAATTTAAATATTGAATACAATGAACTATGCTCAATGGAATCCCTAGTATTTTTTTGGCTTAAGGCTTTTTGAAAATCAAAGCAAGGGAGCTATGATACCATGGGTTATCTCCTTCTGGAGAGATTTGCTCAAGTTTGGTGCTAGGAGATGAACACATGGAGAGGTATAAGAGAAAGCCATTTGCTACCGTCTGGTGTCTTTATTAACATGGACACTCTGTACCTTGTCTGAGGACTATGCTGTGTCCCTGTTGGCAGCAAATATAAAAAAATTACTTCTGGACATTGAAAAATGAAAAAAAATCAAAGTGTTGATGACCGAGGATTTAGATTTTTGTTTGTTGTTATTGCTATTCTAAATCTGTTTACAATTCATAGTCTTAAGAGCTGATGTTTACATAGATATGAGTGACCTGTAGAATCGTCATGGGCCTGTGGATTGTGTCATGTTTCATTTGATGTAAGGCACAATGGACTGCATGGTTACCTTTTATTTCGTATGGTAGGAATTATCAGTGGCAGATGTCAGCGATGCTAAAGTGTGAAATAAAGAGGAAGGTGGGTGCAGTGGAACTGCCTGCACTCCTACCTACTGGGAGGATTAGCAAGTTTAAGGCCAGCTTAGGGAATAGAGTTTTAAAACATTGTAAAGTTATTTAAAGAAAAATATTTGCAGTAGGTATAATTCTGTTACTTCTCTTCACTGAAATATTGTGCTTGTTAACATTAGGAAGACCAATCATAATTGTAACCAGCAAACACTGAGCTGTCAGGGCTGGAAGCATTTGTACGTGCTCTTGAAGATGCGAGTTGAAGCATCACAGCAGCATTGTGTAAGATAGCTACAGTGTTGAATCCTCATTCTACAGATGGAGAGATTGATTTATGGGCTCACAGGAAGTCTAAGTAGTAACTACTAACTAACAGTGATTGGGGTAGGATTCAAATCCAAGCTGAGTTCAATCTATTAGGTGTTCTGTTTCCAGAGAGTACTCTGAGGAAGGATGAAGCCTGATACAGAGCACTCGCCTTGAATGGGACAGCCATGCACTGTAGGCCTAGCACAGAAATGAACACCTGAGTAGAGAAATAAGTAAAAGAGAAAATTTTAGTTTCTTCTCTTACATCAGAAGGAAATGCATGTTGCCATCTAGTATTTACACTTGAATGTGCCTTTACATAGCAATCTGTAATTTCCTAAAATGTCCTCTCAATTTGTAGGACATCACTGCATTACGCCCGTGCCCTGCTGTGGTGATATTATTATCCAACTGAACAGATTTTAATATCCAGGATGATGGTGGTTGCACATTCTTGATTAAGGAAGTTATCAGACAACAGTTTTGGTATGAAATGGATTAAATCTTATTCTAGTTTTGTTTTTGTTGTTGTGATAAAACACTGGCTAAAACCAGCTCAGGAAAGGAAATGTTTATTCAGCCTACAATTTCACATCACAGTCCGTCATGAAGGGAAACCAGGGCAGGAGCTCAATCAGGACCAGAGGCAGGAAACGAAGCAGAGGTTATGGGGAAATTCTGCTTTTTCATGGCTTTTTTCCAAGGCTTGCTCAGATTTCTTATACTACTCAGGACCACCTGCCCAGTCATGCCAACACCCCTAGGAAGCTGTGCCCTCCCATATCAACCTCAGTCAAGAAAATGCTCTACAGACTTCCCAGAGTCCAGTCTGGTGGAGGCAATTCTTCAGGTGAGGTTCCTTCTTTCCCAGTGTCTTCAGTCTCTGTCAAGCTATATATAAAACAAGCAAAGAAACGAGCATCCTCCTTCACTACAACAATAGCCAAACAGTGCTGGTGAAACGCTTTACTATCTAGGTGTGGTGGCACACCCCTGAAATTCTACCCCTTGGAAAGCTTTGGTGGGGAGGTTATGAATTTAGGCAAGCCTGGGGTCCTTACGAGGACCCTGTCTCAAAGAGAGAGGGATAATGTGTATAACCTAAACAACTGGTCTGATCGAAGGGTAACTATTCAATGCGATAGTCAGAATGCTTATCTCGACTCTCTTGAATTCAGTATCTCTTTCTTTATACCATATCCACAGGTCACCCAGCAGGACAACGTGGAGTGTGTTTCTATATTACTGATGCAGAGTGCTGATCCCCACATCATAGATTTCAGAGGGAATGCAGCCCCACACCATGCCATTTCCAGAGGTAACACAACAGTTGCCAGCAACCTGCTCGGATACAACATAAATATTGAAGCCAAAACAGAGGTAAAAATCATTCAATTTCATTCCCAAAGTACTTCCAGCAATGACACTCAAATCACTTTCCACATTCTGAAGCTCAAGCAGTCTCACTGAATCTGTTCAGAGTCAAACATTTTTAAAAATCTGTTTTTCATAGTTCTTGTAAGTAACTTAAAGGAACGCAGCACTGCACATTTTGATTCAGATGTGGACTTTACTTTCAAATTGAACAAGTAAACGATTTGGGCACACATATACTTCACATACTCACAAGCAATAAAAAATAATTTTAACTTAAATGTCTGTAGACAAAAACAGAAATCTGTGCAATTAATAAGCCATTGATGTGGTTTGTCTCTCAGAGATGAGGCTAGAGTGCAAAGGTCACAGGTACAAAAGCAAATGCGGAAATTTGATCATTGAAGAAAACATACTGAGAAGATATTTTTATTTTACTTTTTTCATATTTTCTATGTACATAGTGAAGGGGCGAAAATATGACTCCATCTTAGAGAAGGAGCAACTCCATTGTAATTAATGACCTAAGCCTGAATCCAGTAGATTCCCCACTTGGCTAAACAGTTCCAAACCTGTTCCTATAAGGCTGGAAGACCCAGAGTTGCTGGATCTGGCTGTTACTGACCATGTGACAGAAAAATCCCACAATGGATGAAAATGTTACTAGCCCTGTCCAATCAACATGCACCCCATATAACTACTCCCTGACTGCCCGATTATAACAAAGATACTAAGAATTCCCAGAATTTCCTTTAAAAGGGCCTGCATGTCTTTGTTCCTGGTCTTCATTACCATTTTATATGGGTGATGGAATGTTGAATGCTAGCTATTTCTGAAGAACAAGTACTCTTTGTGTTACATACCATTTGAGTCTGTGGTCTTTCTCCAGGATCTTTGGACCACTACAATAGGAAATGATGTTTGGTTTGGGAGATAATTTTTAGTTTAAGGAAAAAAATAGTTTTGAAAAACGGATTGAGAAACTGCTCCAGAGATGCCTCTTGAGTTCAGTCATTCAACAGAGGCACACCAAACCTAACTACATGTTTTAGGGTTGGGGCAATGGAAACACATCTCTGTGGAGCTAAGAAGCTTGGAACCAGCTAGTGTTTGTGGGAAGTTCTGGAGATGAGTGGTGTTCAAGGGCAATGTTGGACAGGGGAAGGTATGTCAAAGGGAATGGAACCCTTGTGTATGTGAATCTGCAGCAAGGGCTGAAGGAAAATCTATCCTTTTGTGACTCTTTTTGTTTATGAAATCTTTGATAAATTTTCAGTTGAGAAGCATGTCAATGGGCACAGGAGACCACTTCCTAGGTAGAACCCCAGTAGCACAGACAATAGGAGCAACAATGAATAAATGGGACCTCCTGAAACTGAGAAGCTTCTGCAAAGCAAAGGACATTGTCATTGAGACAAAAAGGCAACCTACTGATTGGGAGAAGATCTTCACCAACCCCGCATCAGACAAAGGTCTGATCTCCAAAATATACAAAGAACTCAAGAAACTAGACACTAAAACTCTAATTAACCCAATCAAAAAACAGGGTACTGAACTGAACAGAGAATTCTCAACAGAAGAAGTTCAAATGGCCAAAAGACACTTAAGGTCATGCTCAACCTCCTTAGTGATCAGGGAAATGCAAATCAAAACAACTTTGAGATACCATCTTTTTTTTGTCCTATGTGCCAGTTTAATTTCTGAAGACAAACATCTTAGATTATGTGTCTATACATATTGCATTTGCTTATACAAATCTAATGTTATATATTTCAGATTTATAAACTTCTTACCTAACCCTTTCTCAGGGTCCATGACTGCCAACTCTGTCTCTGTAAGCCACTACAGGCCCTGTTGAGTTGATTCTGTGGCCTGTATTCTGTAGTATCCTCAACTCCTCTGGCTATATAAGCGGTAACATCTTTACATTAAACAATGATACATGATATGGTGTCATTTACTACTTCTTTTTCATGGCTTTATAGTTTCCCTTGTGGCACTTCTTTTTTTTTTCATAAAAAATGCTTATTTTAGAACAGGAAATCTAAAGGACACACAAGCCTGAGAAATGCAGTCGGTCATCAGCATCCATAAACACATAAACAGGGATCTATACCACACACAATCACACACGTGCACAGACACACAGACACACACACACACACACACAGAGAGAGAGAGAGAGAGAGAGAGAGAGAGAGAGAGAGAGAGAGAGAGAGAGAG